GCTACAGTGTGCAAGCATTGTGCAACACGTTTTGTTTATGCTAACAGCAACACGACCAACATGTCATGCTAACCCCGAAATCCCACATACTCCGTCATACTCCGTCAGCGCTCCGCCCCGCTGCGCTCCAGACCGGCTGCTCAAAGCAAAGCCTACAGCCTCCACTGTGGCTCCCGTCCGCTCCCCTCTGAGTCCCTTGGAGATGGTAGAGAGCATGCGGAGATGATTAAATTCAAAGCAGCAAAACATGCGGAAATGATCCAGGGTTTCCGCGAATCATTTAAAATAATTACAATTTATTAATTTTTTTGGATTTTTTCATTAATTTCATTCATTTTTATGGGATTTCGGGGTAACAATCAACATATACCGAACCGAACTGAAAACCGTGACCACGAAACCGTGAACTGAACCGAACCGTGGATTTTGTGAACCGTTCCACCCCTAATTTATTCATTCATTCCTTTACGCTTATCCCTGCTGTGATCGCATGGGGTGCTGGTCAGCTGGTCCAGCTGTCAGTGGGCGAGAGATGGGGTAAAACCCTGGACAGGTGGCCATCGCAGGGCAACACAGAGGCTAACAACCAATGACACTCACACCTAAGGAGAATGTAGAGAAGTCAATGAACCAAACAGTCAGAGTACCCAGAGAGAACCCACACATGCACAGGGAGAACATGACCGTGAATCGAACCCGGAACCTGCAAGGCAACAGCACCACCCACTGTGCCCCACTCTGCATCCCTATACACACACACCCTTTATTAAAGCTTTGATAAATATATCATTTTGGTGAAGTTGGGCTTTAGGTTGTATTTTGTAAAGGTAAATCTCTCATATTAGCCTGAGGTTATTTTGTTTGGATGACAAACTCTGGATATTACAGATTTACGTAGGTTAGGTGGTTGAAAAGAAAGACAATATATTCATTTTGGGCTTTAGTTTTTTGTTTATTTAATAATTTTATGTGTGTGCGTGTTAACAGTGGATGTGTTTTATTATTAAAAACATTTCTAAGTGCAGTGTAAATTAGTTTGTGGATTAATTTATGACACACTTTTAATTGCCTGCATGTTTAGAAGCTAAAACAAGGAAAGTACAAAAACAGACGGTTAAAAACATTTCAATCAATAAAAAAATGAAAATAGAGTAACAGAAACAAAAAGCCTCTGGTTGTGCCGAAAGCCAAGGGTTACAAAAAGTCTCAAATAAAATCGTACATCTCACCTGTTGACCAACGTCTCCTCACATACGTCTAATTTATAGCTCTGTTTCTAACATGGCGGATGTTCGAAGTCGTTTTGCCAAATCCGTCCCAACACCAGTTCTGCTGTGTTTGGGATCACTGCCTTTTTATTTTTAACTATCTAGCTGTCGATTTGAACTAAAACAGGATAATCATTTCTTTATTTTATGCTTACTTAGCATGCTACTACCACCACCATGCATGGCGGGAAAGTTTCAAAGGCCCCACTGGGTTTTACATGTCTATCTTTAAATGTCCTGTGTCAAATTTAAAGCCATTTTCTTTCTATAGTTTGGTTAAAGTTGCTGGCCGCCAGCCATGGATCTGTTTTTTTAAGGTTGGTGCACGACTTCTCCATAGGATTAAAGTCAAAACCTTAGGAA